ACAGGACATTTTGAAAGATTCTCATAGTCCCCTGGAACTTAGTTGACCTGGGAGGGAAAGGAACAAAAACTGTCCTTTTTGTCCCTCTGTCCAAATTAGTATAGGCCTCATAGTATGGCTGTTAAACATCCAAGAAGGTTAGTTCCACCAGTCTGGTACTTTTGATTACCATGTGCCATGTAGATAGAGGTTGGCCAAAGACCAACTGCTCTCAGATAAACCTTGCCTAGATGTATATTACATTCTTTGATCTGGTTGTATGTATAATTTGTCAGTAGGTTGTTGGACTAATATGGTTCCCTCTGGTTTTCTAAAACTAGCTAGGCATTATTTATCTCTCACATTGTCTAACCCTTCCACCATGGTTTCGCCATTTAAGGTGCCCCCGTTTTTTCCCATTTCTCCCTTAAAATACCCTTCTCCTATTGTCCCACCTCTCTCGAGCTCCTTCTTTCCCTTTATACCCTAGGTTCCTTATATAACCCTCCTTCCCCCCTCCTTAAAATAACCCCATTTTTATCCATATCTCCCTTGATAATACCTGCTTTCTACTGTTCTCTTTCAGATTCTTTCTTTACCATTACCTCCCTTCCTTTTCATTATTCTGGTTTCTGTAGTTATGTCTGAATACATACTCAATTATAAGGATTTGGTGCTAGAATCCACATATGAGGGAGAACATATGCCTTTTTTTTTCATATTACTTCACTTAGAATAACAGTTTCTAGTTCCATTCATTTACCTGGAAATTTCATAATTTAATCTTTCTTTACTGCCGAGTAAAACTCCATCGAATAAATGAATTTTCATTATGCATTTGTCAGTTGAGGGATGCTTAGGTTGCTTCCATCTCTTAGCTATTGTGAAAAGAGCAGCAACAAACATGGATGTACAAGTGTCTCTGCAGTAGGATGAGTTCTTTGGGTATATGCCAAAGAGTGGCATAACTGGGTCAAATGTTAGGTTCATTAGTAGTTTTTTAGAGTTCTCCATACTGCTTTCCATATGGTCGAACAAGTTTGCAGTTCCACCAGCAGTGGCAGTGGATGAGCATTCCCCTTTCCTTATATCCTCTCCAACATTTGGTATCATTTGTTCTCTTGATCTTAGCCAGTCTGACTGGGGTAAGATGAAATCTTAAAATGGTTTTAATTTGCATTTCCCTAATTACTAGTGTTGTTGAACAGCTTTTAAGATGCTTCTTAGCCATCTTTATTTCTTCTTTTGAGAACTCTTTGTTCAGTTTCTTAGTCCATCTTTTAATTGGGTTACTTCCTTTCTTGATTCTTTGTTTTTTGAGTTTGTTATATATTCTGAATGTTAAACTTCTGTCACATGTGTTGCCGGTGAAAATTTTCTCCCATTCCATGGGTTTTCTCTTCACTTCCTAGGTTGCTTCTTTTGATGTATAGAACCTTTTTAGGTTAATGAGGTACCATTTGTTGAATCTTGACCTTATATCCTGGGCAGTTGATGTCCGGTTTAGAAAATCCTTTCCTGTACCTATATCTTGTAGGTTATTGCCAATGTTTTCTTGTAACAGTTTCAGAGTTTCAGGCTTCACATTGAAGTCTTTGATCCATTTGGAGTTGACTTTTGTGTAAGGTGAAAGATAGGGGTTTAGTTTCATTCTTCTACAGGTGGAGATCCAATTTTGCCAGCACCATTTGCTGAACATGCTGTCTTTCCTCCAGTTACTGTTCTTGGCCCCTTTGTCAAATACCAGGTGGCTGAAATTGAATGTACTCCCATTTGGGTCTTCAATTTTGTTCCATTGACCAATGGGTCTATTTTTGTGCCAGTACCATGCTGTTTTTATGACTATAGCTCTGTATTGTAATACAGTTTAATATTTGGTATAGTAATCCCCCCAGCATTGCTCTTACTGCTCAGGGTTCCTTTGGCTATCTGGGGTCTTTTGTGCTTCCATATAAATCTTGGGATGGTGTTTTCCAATTCTGTAAAAATTGTCATGGGGATTTTGATTGGCATTGCATTGTATCTATAAATGGTTTTTGGTAAGATGGTCATTTTCACAATATTAATTCTTCTAATCCATGAGCTTTGGAGGTCTTTCCATCTTCTGATGTCTTCCTCAATCTCTTTCTTTCAGGATTTAAAATTTTCATTGTAGAGATCTTTAATGTATTTGGTCAGGTTTATTCTGAGAAATTTTTTTTTTTTTTTTTTTTTTTAGTGAAGGGGAATGTACCATGTACTCTTGCTCTTATTCCTTGTTATTGGTATATAGAAAGGCTACAGACTTTTTGTAGATTAATTTTGTAACCTATCCATCTTTGGCTGGCTCGGCTGTGCTCGCTTCCCACAAGTTTTCTGATGGAATTTTTGGGATCTCTTAGGTATAGTATATCATCTGCAAAAAGTGATAATTTGATCTCTTCTTTTCCAATTAATACTCCTTTAATTTCTTTCTCTTGTCTTATTGCTCTTGCAAGAGTTTCAAGCACTGTGTTAAATAGGAGTGGAAATAGTGGACAGCTTTGTCTGGTTCCTGATTTCAATAGAAATGCTTCCAGTTTTTCTCCATGTAGAATAATGTTGGCTGTGGGTTTGTTATATATGGCTCTAATTATGATGAGGTATGTTCCCTCCAGTCCAATTCCCTCTAGGACTTTGAACATAAATGTGTGTTGAATTTTCTCAAAGGCCTTCTCTACTGTATTGAGATGACCATGTGGCTTTTGTTTTTGAGTTCTTTTATATAATTTATGACATTTATTGACTTATGTATATTGAACCATCCCTGCATCTCTGGAATAGAGCCACTTGATCATGGTG